AGGGTACGGAAGCATGAAAATTGAATAAAAGTTGAAAATGAGCAAAGGGCCATTAATGCGACAGTACAAGTCAAACGCACACTTCTTTGCCTAACCCGTACGATGTACGCGGAGATTTGAAGTATGTCTTCAAATCTGCAGGCAAAAAACAAACGGTGCTACATGGAAAAAAAAAATGTAATCAACAAAGCACGCTTTTTATTGGGCAGGGACACTGCTATTAGATACAATCCGAACGGAACATCAGATGACCTTTCCTGGAGAAATAAGGTCATTGCAAGTGCCTGATTAGTTTCGAAGATTCGATGGACAAATCATACTGCTCATCAATTTGGAGGTACCTAAGGGTAAAAATGATATCAGATTAGTGGTGGATCTCAGAGGCCCAAATCAAGCATTCATCCAAAGTACTACAAACTCAGAAAAGAGTGCTGAAGATGATCGTCCTTTCGATACCAGAATTTTGAAGGCGAACGTTCAGTAATTAGATTTTAAAAATGCTGACATTGAGACTAGGTTCGGGCAGAAATCTAATTCATCAGAACATGCTTTGAAAAATAATTATTATATCATGGGTCATTTGTATATAGTAGTTGCAGGTTAGTTATAAGTGGCCTTCTTTTTCCAATTTCAAATAAACCAATCCCACCAAGGTAAGCATTCTCTAAACAGGCCTGATAGCACTAGGAATTAGGCCGAATACTCGTGGCTTACTCAAGGTTAGAGGGGTACATTGTCGAAGGATAGGATCAGGGGAGGAGCTTGAGCGTGGTTTCCGATTGTCTCATCAGAGCGTTGTCGCCAGTATGAACGGTAGTGTGGTTCTAGATTCGTCTGGAGTTCCACCGACTATGGTGACCAGTGGACGACGACAAGACTCATCGAGGCGGGAGGACAAGACAAACAAAAACTATTAAAGAGAGACAAAAACAAAGGAATTAAATTCTTACGCTAGACATATTCAGAAACACATAAATCGACTGCATATAGCAGATATCGCGGGCTATAGGGTTGCCTTGCGCCTCGAGTGTATTCAAAAGTCGCTCTCTGTCGGCGTCATTATCCGTACATTGCCAAACTGCCTCATCGATGTCATTGTAACCGTTTTCACACCAACAGATGTTGTTGTCCACAACGTGTTTTCTATAGAGATGCACATCTAGCGGTTGGACATAAGTCCACTCATCACGCAAATGAAGTCACGACTTAAGCCCAAGCCTTTAAACCACGCTCTCGAAGAAACATTAGGCATAATTGAATGTAACGACCGTCCGAGATTTCCATTGTCCCAATCGATTGGCCAACTCGAAAGGGTACTCTGACTGGCCACTTTTACTGATGTTCCGGATCTTCTGGAGGACGGTCCCATAGCCATCCGGGTTTATGTTTATGTCACGATCTCAAATTCATTCTTAAATCACAGTTCTTAGAGTTTTCAAAATAAAAAAAATGCGGAGGTCTAGGATTAGTTTCGCGGATTGAAAACTCATCCGGAGGACCGTTCCGATACCTCCAGAATCGATATTTGGGAAGCATGATTGTATTCTGGCTAATTATGAATATTTGCAAAATCTTAAGTCACTTGCAAAATCTTAGAAAACGTGTAACGACTCTTTTCACTATAACAAAGGAGACGAGCCTATTTTCAATAATCTACAGACCCTAGGGATTCTAGTGGTACAACATTGTTTTTTTTTTAAATTCATCAAGAAATGGCTAAACTATGGTAGTGCAAACTTGCCTTTACACGTTTTTCGAACTTAACTCTTTCATCTTTTGCTCTTTCATAGAGATTTCCATCTTTTAAACGCATAGCTTACTAAAGTTCGCAAACTTATAAGAATGAGAAAATGAGTACATTCACTCAAATTTTGCATCCTGGCTATGCCCATGAATAACCCGTTTTGGCATTTCCCAGTTTCTTGAGCTATAATTTAAGGATTTTCTTTCGGAACAAACGAAATCTTTGTTGTTTATGTTTATTTAATCAACCTCCTGTAGATTGGTGTCAACATTTTGTGATTTTTTGATCTTTACTGGTTTGTCCTCGATCTTAATTCTAGTTACATATCCTGCCTGCCACATGAATATTTTATTTTTGTCAATAGCCCGGACGATCTTATGTTAGCTTAAAATTAGTCGAATACCTACTGTGCGCTCCATTAATCGAGTAAATTTCAGACATCACTAATTCTGACGATGTTAACCCTCGAGAGGCATCGAAGCACTATAACATCAAAAAGCAAACAATAATAAATTGAAAAAGAACCAATAAAACTTAAAAAAGTTGGCGTTGTGGTTGGAAAATTTCGAAGGTTTTCCCGGCAAATTTTAATTTTTTTAGTGCTGATGTTTGTTTTTCTATTGCTACTTCAAGATTTTTCATTGGAAATGGATCGATTTTTATTGGATCATTCAAGGTTTTTATTGCTCAAACATATAATTTATATTGCTATTTTTGAATTTTCTGTTGCCACTTTTCAATTTATTGCTGCTTTTTTTCTTCCTTGATTAGTTTTCCGTCGATCTATTGTCAATCTCCGTCGAGTACCGAAGCCAAGGAGGCAGCTCTCATACCTGGACCCTATCTATCGACCCATCAACTCACTGAACGAGGACCAACGGTTTTTCTTTCCTGATCAGAGATTTTATGCCTCAGAAAATTCCGATGGAGCCGACTAGGATTGAACCCAGGCCCTATGAAATGACCGGCGCCGCCTACCAAGAAAAACTAATTTCAATCTTTCATTTTTCAAAATTCGGTCTAATGACCCATTCAGCCTAATGACCCATATAAATTCACAACGTAATAATGTATAATATACATACATTATATTATCTTCATTAGGGTGCTCATTACTATGAAATATGTGTATTTTATGTGTATGTGTATTTGGGCTCAATCTGAAGTTGTCCATGAATTTTTCAATAACATCATTTGTTCATCGTTTTCTAATGGAATCAATCTGATTGCCGCTGCTCCAAAAGCTGTTTCAAGAATACCTTTGACATGATATCTTCCAATATTCTTTTTTGAAAATATTTGCTTAAATATGGCGATTGCCTCGTTTTGAAAAGTGATCTCATCGAACCCATCAAACATGATTATAGTCCGATTTGCGTTGCTTTCTAGATTTTTTTTTTCATCATGATGCAGAACAATCAAGAAGAAGGTTAGCAATTTCTAAATGCCCATTTTCACTTGCATAGTGGAGAGGTGTTCCATTAGTAATAGTGATAATGAAGATGATGTATTTCAAGAAAATGCGAGTTTTGCAGATGTTGTAAAAATACATAGTTGGGCTAGTAAAGTAAAAGTATTAGTAACAGTAACAGTAATAACAACAGTAAAAAACAGAGCAATCGTAAGACTCGTCCGGTCATTGTGATTAAACCGAAGAGTCCAAACAACCTTGCGAAGATACTCGTAAGTTTTTGAAAATTCAGTTGGATCCAAAAACAAACAAAATCAGTAATTTTAGAAATGGTAAAGATGGCTCTATTATTGTTGAGTGTGCAACAGGAGCTAATCTAAATGATGTAAAAACTGATATTGAAAGCAATTTGGGTGAAAAATATAGTGCTGTTGTTCCCACTTTGGTGCCAAGATTGAAAGTAGTGGGCATGAACGATCAGTATTCCTCCGATGTCTTCATTGACTACTTAAAAAGTCAAAATGAAGACATCGCTATTAATGATGCAAAAGAAGTGAACATGTTTGAAAATCCACGCTTCATATATAACAAGTTTAGTATTGAAAATGAAGTCGATGTCGATACGTATGAATGTTTGTTATGTGCGGAAAAAGTAAATGTAGGGTTTGATAGGTGCTCGATTGTTCCAGCGAGATGCTTCACATGTGCAGAATTTGGGCACAAGAGCATGGATTGCAAAAATTGTGAGAGATGCTCTAGGTGCAGCCAAAAACACAAAACGTCGGAGTGTACGTCAACTGTATTGAAATGTATTAATTGTTTGAAAATGAATAAAGAACGTTAAATGAACTTGGACGTCAACCATGCCGCATTTAGCTCGGAATGTTTGCTCTATAAAGGACTTTTTGAACAGAGAAGAAAAGCAGCTTGCGTTTCAATAAATAGCAGCCAAGTTCCAAGAATGTGAATCAATTCGATTTTTTGTATTTGAATATTGCGGGGTTGTCAACAAACTACGTAGCATTACGTCAGATTGTTGGGGAAGAACGTCCTCTTTTAGTTTTGTTATCTGAAACTTATATTGTAGAAACAGAAGCTTTTGATCAGTACAGTATTCCGGGATATATTGTTGCTGCTTGTTAATAACATTCTAGACACACTGGCAGTGTTGCTATTTATGTCAAAGAATCAGTTCAATTCAACTTTCGTACCAACGAAGTTATTGATGGCAACTGGTTCTTGGGCATTACAGTTGTACGTGGCATGAAGATGGGTAATTATGGTGTTTTGTATCATTCTCCCAGTTCTAGTGACCAGCGTTTTGTTGAAGTTTTAGAGAACTGGTTTGAGACATTCCATGATTCTTGTAAATTAAATATATTGGCTGGCCATAATTCGAATCATTTGAAGCGTTTAGCTGAGTTTTTTTTTTTTTTTAATTTAAAGCAAACGGTTAATTAATAAACGTGTATTTCCAGGCACAGAAGAACGTTAATTGACGACGTTTAATCCAATTTTGATTCCATTTTTTTCAGTTACGGATACTGATTTGAAAATAACCGATCATGAAACCTTAGTGATTAATGTCTTAGACCATGTTAACGATAACGATGAATTAGTAAAATTGAAGTGCTGGAAGAAATATTCGAAGCAAGCTGTTTCGAATCTTGTTGAGAGGAGCGTGGATTTTTCATTCGCGGCCGGTAACTTAGATGAATCTACAGCTGTTCTTAATAACGCTTTGAAAACGTATACCAAAAAATGTAATTGAGCAAAAGTTTGTTTTTTTTTAACTCAAACAGCTCGTACAATTTGGATCTTTTGCGTCTTAAACGGAAAGGGACAAATGGTACAAAAAGTTTTATAGATCAAATAATGACAATCATTGGAATAGGAACACAATCGCGCGTAATAAGTATTCACAATCAATAAAGAAAACTCGTTGTGAATATGTTCAAATGAAGATTGATCAGTAACAAAACAACAGCAAAGAGTTATGGAATTTTTTTAAATCTTTATTAAAACCTAGTAATTGCAAGTCGCGGTCCATAACTTTTAATGGCACATTAGAACAGTCAGAACAAGTAATTGCAGCTAAGTTTAATGATTATTTTGTAGACAGTGTTTCATTGATTAATCAATCCATTGAATTGGTCGATGAACCTGACGAAATTAAACAGCCAGTGAATAGAAGTTGTAGATTTGAAGTTTTTCACCCAATCACATTAGATGAACTTAGAGTTATTTGTTTTTCATTAGGAAAATCGGCTGGAGTAGATAATGTTAATGCTAGAGTTATACAAGATTGCTTTCATGTCATTGGCCACATCTTTCTGAACATGTGCCACAAATTTGAATGGAATTCTTAGTGGTTCCTATTCAAAAAGTTGCTGAAACGATTAAAGCCGAAGAGTTTCGTCCCATCAACATGTTGCACACATTAGAGAAAATTTTAGAACTTTTTGTTAAAGGCCAGCTGTTGGAGTATTTAAATAGTAATAGTTTGTTGATACCAGAACAATCGGGATATCGGGAAGGTCATTCTTGTGAAACCGCGTTGAATTTGGTATTAGCGAAGTGGAAAAATAATTTGGAGTGTAAAGATACGATTGTTGCTGTTTTTTGGATCTTTAACGCGCTTTTGAAACAATTTCTAGGCCCTTATTGATAAGATCAATCAAGCGCTTTGGAATTACGAGTACCGCATATAAATGGTTTGAAAGCTATTTGTCTGACAGAGCTCAACGGACTGTTTTTAATGATTCTGCTTCCAGTCCCGTGGAGAATAACCTTGGAGTGCCCCAGGGAAGTGTATTAGGGCCCCTGTTATTTATTATGTATATTAATGACTTGCAACGTGTCTTACGATTTTGAGACATTAATCTTATTGCAGATGATACTGTGTTATTCATTGCAGCTAAGGATTTAGATGATGCCGATTTACACTTGAATGAAGATTTGCGTTCTCTACGTAGATGGTTGAAGTATAAGCAGTTGAAATTGAATACAAATAAAACAAAATTTATGGTAATTCCGCGGTAACGGTTTGCTACCTCGATATTTGTGTGATCGAATTGAAAGAGGAAGTGACTTTCATAGATATAATACTAGAAACGCGGTTGAAATAAGAACACCACATTTCTTGACTTGTGCTCCACAAAATTCATTGTATTATAAAGGAATAAATGTGTTCAATTCGATGCCTAAATAGATATATCAAACGTTCAGCAACACTTATAGAATTTAAAAGATACTGCATTTCACACTTTGAAACTGTCTTTTAAACAGTGTTATCCAGTGATTTTTTGACAAATAATGCAGCTTGACGAAGTTATCTCTAACGATTTTTTTTTTATATGGATAGCTGTCATAATGACTTTTTAATAATTATTGTAGTACTTCAAAAACCATTTTTTTTATGATTGATGCAATAGTAGTAGATTAGAAATAAAAATTGTCTACAAGTTAGTTAGTTACTTATATTTATTAAGAAGACTTTCAGCCAAACGCTGGTTCGTTTTCGAGTAGTCTTCAAAGGTTTGAGCCTCGCGTGCATATTATGGATATAGAGGACTTAATTTATCATTTCATCAAAAAATGCAACTTTCTAGCTCATTTAAAAAAAATGCAACTTTCAAGCTCATTTGCATCGGCACCGGTGGTGTAGTGGTAAGCGTGATTACATCTCACCCCAGCAGGCCTGGGTTCAATCCCAGTCGGCGCCGCCGGGATGTTCTGAGGCATAACATCTCTGATCACGCCTTCCTTCGGAAGGGAAGTAAAGCCGTTGGTCCCCAGTTCATGAGTTGATGGGTCGATAGGTAGGGTCCAGGTGTGGGAGCTGCCTTCCTGGCACGTCGGTAGCATTGGTGCTCAGCACGGAAAACAAGATCGACGTAAAACAAATAAAGGAAAAAAAAAGCTCATTTGAAAGATACCTCGAGTAAGCTTTCTCGCTGAATGTCAGGGGTTCGTGAGCATTCCTGACATTCCTGAAAATTATAAAAGCATCAGATTGCGGGGTTGCTAGTGTAATAGGATGCTTTGTTGATTGTTCATTAACTCTTGATTGCTGTATTACAATGAATATTTCAGGTGATCAAAACGGCAAACTAAGAGGTGGACGCCTGAGCTTTTCCACATTTATATCGCTGTGAAGCAACTTTAAACTCTAGAGGAATTTAAATCTGTAATTGTAACCAGTTAGTTTTTTTTGCAAACCTGGTAAAATTGTCATATTTAATTATCTTAAAAATAAACCGTCTAGATCAAACCTCAACAAAAAAAAAGAATAAAAGAAAAAAAACAAAAACAAACAAAAACAAAAGTTTTCTATCGAGGAAAAGTTTAGCAATTTCTAAATGCCCATTTTCACAAGCATAGTGGAGAGGCGTTCTATTATTTTCATCCTGAAGATCCACATTTGCAGATCTATCGAGGAGAAGTTTAGCAATTCTTAAATGCCCATTTTCACTTGCATGGTGGAGAGGTGTTTTATTATTTTCATCCTGAAGATCCACATTTGCAAATCTATCGAGGAGAAGTTTAGCCAATTCTAAATGCCCATTTTCACTTGCATAGTGGAGAGGTGTTCTATTTTTTTTCATCCTGAAGATCCACATTTGCAGATCTATCAAGGAGAAGTTTAGCCAATTCTAAATGCCCATTTTCACTTGCATGGTGGAGAGGTGTTTTATTATTTTCATCCTGAAGATCCACATTTGCAGATCTATCGAGGAGAAGTTTAGCAATTCTTAAATGCCCATTTTCACTTGCATGGTGGAGAGGTGTTTTATTATTTTCATCCTGAAGATCCACATTTGCAGATCTATAGAGGAAAAGTTTAGCAATTTTTAAATGCCCGTTTTCACTTGCATTGTGGAGAGGGGTTCTATTATTTTCATCCTGATGATCCACATTTGCAGATCTATCGAGGAGAAGTTTACCAATTTTTAAATGCCCATTTTCACTTGCATAGTGGAGAGGTGTTCTCTTATTTTCATCGAGGAGAAGTTCAGCCAATTCTAAATGCCCATTTTCACTTGCATAGTGGAGAGGCGTTCTATTATTTTCATCCTGAAGATCCACATTTGCAGATCTATCGAGGAGAAGTTTAGCAATTTCTAAATGTCCATTTTTACTTGCATAGTGGAGAGGTGTTCTATTTTTTTCATCCTGAAGATCCACATTTGCAAATCTATCGAGGAGAAGTTCAGCAATTTCTAAATGTCCATTTTTACTTGCATAGTGGAGAGGTGTTTTATTTTTTTCATCCTGATGATCTACGTTGGCAGATCTATAGAGGAGAAGTTTAGCAATTTCTAAATGTCCATTTTTACTTGCATAGAGGAGAGATGTTCTATTATTTTCATCCTGAAGATCCACAGTTGCAGATCTATCCAGGAGAAGTTTAACAATTTCAAGATGCCCATTTTTACTTGCATAATGGAGAGTTGTTCTATTCTTTTTATCCTGAAGATCCACATTTGCAGGTTTATCAAGGAGAAGTTTAGCAATTCCAAAATGCCCATTTTCACTTGCATAGTGGAGAGAAGTTCTTTTATTTTTATCCTGAAGATCTACACATGCAGATCTATCGAGGAGAAGTTTAACAATTTCTAAATGCCCATTTGCACTAGCATAGTGGAGAGGTGTTCTGTTATTTTCATCCTGAAGATCCACATTTGCGGATCTATCGAGAAGAAATTTAGCAATTTCAAGATGTCCATTTTTACTTGCAATGTGCAGAGGACTTGTATTGAGGTGTTTATCATAACCTTGAAATATCTCAAAGTTGGCGATCAGATTAGCATCTATGCCATAATCAAGTAGAAATAAAACCAGCTCAGAATTACCAGCATACGTCGCAGTGTGTAATAACGATCCATATTTTTCGTGTTTTCTAGTTTTGAAATCATTCTTTTGTAGTAGTTCCTTTACTACTTTTACTGAACTTGATTCACATGCCCAGAATGCAACCTTAGATTTATCTTTACAAATATCGCTCAGAACAATCATTTGCTCTGATTGTTCTGAATACTGTTCTTCAGTAAGCTTAAAAAAAAATCTTCGAACTGTTTCATGATCAACAAGTGTTTCGTACAAAATTGCTTTGCATTTTTTGATATAATCATATATATACATTGCAGCAAAAAATTCGGCATATGATAAGTGTATGAACCTAAGATTGCCATAGGAAATATTAAATAGAGGAGAGTTCTCTTTTCCGTTTTTGATTCGATTTTGAAGGTCATTGTAAATTGTTTCGTGTTCACCCGATGTGATTACTTCTTCATGGTTATACCTTAAAATCTGATTCCAGGCAGCTATTTGATGCTCAAAAATAAAGTATTTTAACTGACGGTTCTCTTCTTCATCACTTTGCATGTCAATATTTCGGTAAGCATCTTGGGATCTATTTTTCTTGCATTTGATTTGAAACGAAAACTGCACAATCTTTTTAAACAATGAGACAACATTAAATTTTTCTGTCGGGAAAATATTTTGTACGCGTTGATCTGGAACAGTATTTACATATTGTTGGAAATCATCAGAATATGCTTCCGCCAACAATCGAATCATAAGGGAAATCCCAAAGAATTTAAACTCATAGCTTGTTATATCCGAGCAGAAATTTTCGAACAATTTAGTTGAATAATTTTTAAATTCCTCTGAATCATCGGAAGTTTTCCATGAATTTTTCAATAACATCATTTGTTCATCTTTTTCAAATGGAATCAATCTGATTGCCCCTGCTCCAAAAGCTGTTTCAAGAATACCTTTGACATGATATCTTCCGCTTACAATTACTCGAATATTCTTCTTTGACAATATTTGCTTAAACATGGCGATTGCCTCGTCATGAAAAGTGATCTCATCGAACCCATCAAACATGATTATAGACCGATTTGCGTTGCTTTCTAGATTGTTTTTCAATATTGTCATGCTTGTTTTTGAAAGAGTCGGTTTAAGAATTGTGTAAACTGTTTCTAAGTTTTCACAGCCCGTTTTGAGCATTTCCTGTAAGCTATTCAAATATATCAAGAACACATCAATATCGGATTTCTTTTGAACTTCGAAGGCAATGTATTGGAGGATAGTTGTTTTTCCAATACCAGGCTTTCCGATTAAGAGAGAAAATTGGCTCTCTTCTTGGTCGTATATTAATCGTTTGATGAAATCATGGTCGCTAACAATATGACTGTTATCAATTAATTTTCTTTCTATGTACGAGCTTTCACGTTGTGATAAATTATGACTCAATTCTTCCGTTATGTCTTTGACACACTTACGTCCCTCGGCTTCAGTTAAGTAAATCTTTTGTGTATGCTTGTTACTACTAAGATTGATCCAATCTTTAAAACATTGATAAAATTTAAAGAAAGGCAGCTCTAATTGTGCTTTGCCAAGATCGTCCGGTGGAATCCAAGTTCTCATCCATGAGCGAAGATGATCCTTGACGGTTGTCATTAGATCACTTGGTTGGTCTATACAGAAAGTTAGATGCTGAAAGAACTTGTTCACGCGTTCTTCATTTATATATGGAGGTAGTTGTGTGTCCCTAGATTTACCTTTCATCAGATCTTGATACGCTTTATTTTTTATTATGTTTACCGTTGCTTCTCTATCAATCTTATTTAATAGCTCATTGTACAACCATTGATGGGTGGTATCGACCTGGCTGTTTGAGTTATCATTATTTGGATTTTTAGCTAAAACTGTCAGGATCTTCTGCATTGGTGTTTTGTACTTCGTCAGTAAGTCCGAAGCTTTTCCACTTTTGAAGAGTTCAATGATTGCATCCCTTATGGCAGTTATTTCGGTGTTCAGCAAATTCAGTAATTCTTCAATGTTATCCTCTTTTGGTCTGAATCTTATGTAGCAATTGTCGGATTTAGCTAACTTCATTATTGGGTTCACTTCACTTTGTTCACAGATCTCGATGTTCACCAACTTCTTAAGCTGTTCATCGCTAACGTCTAATGATCTATTGGTTAAGATAAAAAATCGTTGCTTATACTTCTTGAATTTATCTTTTTGAATGACATCTAAATATGACTGTATGTACTGCACAAGAGCAAAATCTTTATTCTCCTTGAACATCTTCGGAAAAAAATTGTCGAACGATAATGGTTTTGTATCACCTGAGCTGCCTTTGTGTTTGGTTTGGATTAACCAGATTTCCTCCTGTTCTTCGAAAATTATGACTACGTCGTCAAATTTTCCAGCGTCCTTCATTTCTGAAGCAAGTTTGAATGCTGACTTCCCGAAAGATGCTCGCTCAAACAGCACCAACGCTAAATCTTCTTCGTATTTGTTGCCATGATTGCCAATATTGCCACCCCATGCATAGATTAATCGTTCCTTGGTGGGCTCCATTATTTTCCCTAAAAAGAAAAGAATAATCTATTAGTAACATTTATCATAAGTATTTTACGTCTATTTGTTCAAAATAATCTGGACATTGCTTTTATAAACATAGGAAAAGCATTCTACAGTGTTTGGCATGAAAGTTTGATTTCCATATTGAAAAAGTTTAATTTTCCACTCTATATTATTTCAAAATTATGTAACTTAAGGAACTCTACTCTGACTGACTATCTGTTAGAGCTTGTGTTCCTCAGGGTAGCACTCCTGGGTCGATATTGTAAAACATTTCACTTCGGACCTCCCTGATTTGCCTCAGAGTTGCAGGCATTTCCACTAAAGGAAGAAGTCTTCGTGTTATTTGCAGCAGACTGCAGATAAGTTTAGATATTGTCTCTGCTTATTTTCAAAAATGGAAGATTTCTCCCAACGCTTCCAAAATTTAACTTATGCAATTTCCACATAAACCTAGAGCTTCGTAGTCACATAGTCACTATTAACGGAGTTCCAATTTCCTGGTCAAATCAAGTGAAACGTCTTGGACTAGTACCAACAGTCAATACGAAACTAACGATTTTAAATTGGCACACTACTTGACTAGCCTATTGGTCCCAAGCAAACGATTAACATATCCCATTCTAGTTGAAATTCTAGTACTACGCAATGTTTGTTTTGATTCGCTATGAAAGTTTGACAGGTAAAATGAGGGGTTATTGGTTTTTCCTATGTTTCGAGGGGTGAATCGATTAGCTTGGGACCGAAGAGACTACCAGAGCTGAGCCAAAAAGTTGAGCACATTTCTTCGGGACCTTCTGGTCTTAGAGTTACCTCTATGCTAGTACTTCAACAAACATTAACTTTTGAAGATCACATTGAGTACATCCAAGTCAAATGTAAAACATATATAAAATGTTTGTATGGCTTACATCCAATTTGGGGCCTACTAAGCACAACCCACCCTTTGCCTGTATTTTTCGAGTAGATTTTTTATCCAATGGAATGTTTTCACTGCAGATGACTTTTAAATTTATTGACCTTCCCGTGCGTAAGATTTGCTTAAGAGAAACAAATTGTTGAGATATTGTTAAAAAATTAACATCGCTTTTTGGCCCCCAAACTCAGCCTATGGATTCCAAATTAGGCTTAATTCATTGAAATGCATGCGCATCGTCAGCGTAATCAAAAACCATACTCGTGAGACGATATAGCCATCAAAAGGTGAGGATTTTCTCAGATGGGCTCTGTTTATGCTCGATGTTGGCTCTTGGGGAGCGAGTGGAAGGATACAAAGGGGTAATGCTATTTTTTGAGAAATTTGTTGTGGGGGATTAATACTGGAGGCTGAAATATGACGGTGTATTTTTTCCGGTAGAAAACACATGCCCATCATGCGGTGCATGGACTTATTGAACAAATAAATGAGGTTAAATCTGTTTACCACGCAAATTAAAAGGTGGGTCATGATCAATAACGATAAAAACCTTGAATTTTAAAATTCAAAACGATTTGAAAATTTGAAGTTCTACCATTTTAATCCATATTTTTTTCGAATTTTTAACCAAACTATCAATATTTATATAATGGTACCTAAACGGTTAATAGCCCGTAAAAGCCCGGAACAAACATTTTATTTTAAATGATTTTTATCTAAAACCTTATATGGCCGATTGAAAATATTTTTTTTAACATTATTCCGGTGAGTGGTTCTCACATCTGTTGAGTGGTACTCCCTCTCATGTCCCTCCCTCTTTGTTATGTATTCAATAATGTGTTGGCACGGGGGTGTTTTTTTTTTCAATCTTTATCACACATCTTTTTTATCCTCTGTTCGGGTTTTTGGAGGCGAACCAGCCCAAGGCTGAAAGCCTCCTTAATAAAGCTAAATAATAATAATAATCCTCTGTTCGGGACATAAAACCACTGCGACCAGAAATTTGATCTATTGTTGTACATCCCGTGTCCTTAGTTCAGAGCATGTCGTATTTCTCTATCACTATTGAGAAATGATGAAGTATTCGGTTTTGATACAGTTGTCATTCTTGCCTTCATCGCAAGGAATCGATTCTAATTGAAAGGTCCCGCTATCTATACCCTTCGAACAGTGAGAGCACGCTCCAAAGGCGCGCCCCTTTGTCAATCAAAATTTGATTCCTTAGCCTCAAAATTAAAGAATGACATTGATAATGACCATGCATCAGAACCCTACACGATTTGAAAAATTCATGTTAAGGTGATTGGGCAAATCTGGTCCTGTGACATATATCTCATTTGAAAGGTCTCATTAAGACAAGAAAAAGTTGGTATGGGGTCAAAACTTTTTATCGCGGGAAAGTTATCTCGTATATTCTAAACGAATTTGATGTGTTTTAGTTTTCTTCCATCTATATTGAAAAAAATAATGATGTCTCACATGCCAGTGTTACAATCTAAAAACGATTAATATGAATAAATTAAAGTTTTTAAAATAATATGAAAAAAAATAAAGACAACCTGTTGTATCACCTGAAGTTAGTAAACTGATTAAAATCATTTTTTTTTTCATTTTGTTATAGCTTTATTAGCGTTATTTTTAGCCCCCGGGTAGATTTTTGTTATATTGCTTATTCAACAATTACATTATCTAAAAATTGAGCAGAATGATTAATGTTATGCTGGAATTTTGCGTATCTTAAAATCATACTCCAGTCATAATATGTGCACAACATCCTAGGGTTCTTTTGCCAGAAATGCATGATCAATAATAATAACCTATTGCCTCTCTACCATCCTGGTCTCGACCAACTATGTAACTATAACTATAGTATTTTCGTGATCCAGCATGTCGAGAATGAATTCTGCATCTTAGCAACCAAATATTCCTGCTAAATCGTGGAATTCTGGTAGATCCCCAGACATTAGCAAAACAGTTGCTCGTTGCCTGCTCAAATGGTTGTTGTTGGCCGCACTGGCTTAGACGCACCTACCGTTGGTGCCTACGTGGGGTCATTGTATACACCCCTGCAATGTGACAGCGAAGTGACAGGTACCCAACCTGTCACAACGGGTGAGTAAAAATAAGAACAAAACAACAATTGAAACAAACCACGAAGTGAATTGCATTGTGAAACACTTAGTTATAATTAAATTAGATTTCCTAAACTTACGGCTAAAAGTGAATTTAATAGTGTCTAGAAAATTGAACCAAATGCTACAAAACTAGTTTTGGTGAGCTATACTTTGAATTGAAGTGATTAATCCTAACTAATATCTACGTTACATATTAGATAACTTACGACCTACGACTATAGTGCACCGCCATTCTCGTAAAGCACCCGCTAAATCTCAAGCTACTGCTGAGAAGTATGAAAAACCCACCTTGTATGTGAACTGTTCACAAGCTAACTTACACTATGATTACTTATCCTAGGAATTGCCACTAAACGATTAAATCCGCACTAAAGTACAGTGGAAAGATAGACGGATACTAAACGTAAGTAATTTATGAACTACACTTACATCTAGGACTAAAGCGCTAGTTGAGAAATTAATTAAGCAATGTCTAGTAAACTTACATCTATATTCGAAGTTGCCAAATGATGAGTTGATAATCTCATGTACACTCATATCTATAGTATGCTTAGTAATATTTTTTTTATATTATTTGGTAGGAAAATTATATTCTCGCTATACGATACACGTCTTTTAATCGTTTCGGGAGGGAATCATAGTTTCGGAAGTATAAAGTTGATTCTGAAATCAACAGTTGTTTATGACGTATTGGGCAGGTTGATTGTTTCATTAATGATATCAAGAAAGTCGGGAGCCCGTGCGTTGTTCGCATTTATGAGGGTTGCTGCCACTCTGAAATCTTCAAACATATGCTGCATAACCACATTGAAATAACTTTGACGGAACTTGAAATCTCGCTTGAATCGTCCGTTATCTACCTCAATCACCCATCGACATATGGTGACCAACCGAGACTGATTGGCCTGCTCCGTTGTCAGTTGGTCTTGATTCTGGCTTTTTACCCTTCTTACAAAGAAGGGTATAGATATCACTTGAAAAACCGACTATCGATCCGAGGCCCGGAGGGCCGAGTGTCATATACCAATCGACTCAGCTCGACGAGATCGGAACATGTTTGTGTGTGTGTGTACGTGTGTATGTGTGTATGTGTGTGTGTATGTAACGAAATGAATGCGCTCACGTTTCTCAGCAACCGCTCAACCGATTTGGACAAACTCGGCGCCAAATGATAGGTCTTGGGGTCCCATTGAACGGTTTTGAAATCGGTGAACCGGTTCCGGAGAAATGGCCGGAATAAGATCCGGTGAATATGGGCCTTCACGCTGGATTTAACGGAAAACGTATCAAAACCATCATGCGACACATCAAATTACTACAAAATTCAAAAATAAGATCAATGCAAGTCGTGTTAAGTGTTCCATACCACATTGGACACACTTGGACATGTTAAGGGTACCCCGGGGAAGTTGCTTGAATATGAATTGAATTAAAACCCATTAAATCACATTAAAATACGATGATAAGGTGATTGGTAGCCTCACCAAATAGACTACACCCGGATATATTCCGGGTACCCCCAGGCAGTGGCGTAGTGTCACTGGATGACACGGGGGTGGGGGGCTTGGTCACTGATAATGACAATAAAATAAATAAACTTGAATAAGTAAGAAGGGTCTGATCACACCATAGGTGGATAAATTCGGGTTTTAATGTGGTATCACTGCTTCATAGCCGAATAAACTCAGTTCTTCCATAGCGTCCCGAAATCCTCTGACCAACATAAAAACATCACATAGCCTAAGAAATCAATTCAGAACTACTTGTGAAGACTGTACGATTTTCGCTGGAAAGAATAGTTGCTGCTTTTTTTTAAATATACAAACGTACATGTCATCGCAGATGACGAATGCTTTTCGCATTTCCAGTGGAACATCCATGTTTCCGTGTATTGCGTCTGGGATCATGAGATTTTTTCTCACCACGCCTTCTCGGTCAATATGATCAAATCCTT